GCATCTTCACATGTTCGCTTGGACCCAATAGGACATATATCCCCCGTTTATACAGTCAATAATGTTTTAAGTGTGTACATCAATACCTTCTTCGCGTTGGCAAAGGAGGATTATTGGCTTGCTGAAACAACCGACTGAAAATCATCAAATAATGAAGTCGCCATTGAACGTATTTTATCCCACATGAAGGGAAAGGTAAACATCGAGAAAACTTGAGAAGGAAGAAGTCACGGTCTTGCGACTGAGAGATCGGGTAAGGGAGTCTGTTACTCGAGAGGAAGGTATTAGCACCCCACACCCCCGTAGCACTCTATGGTATCCACTCTTGTTGTCTATCTTATGGGTGTGTTTAAACTATGCTTACTGTATACAACTGAGAAAAATGCATGCAAAAGAAAGGAGAAGAGAATGTAGGTAAAATAAAGTTGTACTCGCTTGGGTCCTACCCCAATGCCTACGTATCCTTTTTGAGGAATCAGAGCTACCTTAGTTCGGCTAACCTGTTTTATTTGTTTGTGTTTTTTATGAATAATTTTAATTCCGCCTTCTGCCACAGATCGACCTTTGGAGACTTACGCGTTGGCACAAAAGTAAATTAACCATGTCCTTACTTGAAAAAGGTTTAGAGTTACGCCCTCGAGGTAAGATACCATATTTGATTGGTTTATGTTTTGTTACCTTGAAAAAGGGTTTAAGTATGATTAGCATGTTTTATGATTTGCTAAAGAAAATAAGATTTTAGTTTTAGATGTATATGCAAAAGGGGAAGAAAAGAGTCCAAGGGAGACTAGCCTATTTCTAACCTAATGTTATCATACAATGGTATCCCTAAAGTTTGGATTAACAAAAGGGGAACGTCTACCTAATGTTAGCATGCATGGTTTACAACCTAAGGTCTAACTTGCATCCGAAGGGAGCAAGCACGTCCTAAGGGAACATGGTATGTACAAGGGAAAAACAAGCAAGATCGAAAGAGCACGTACATAAAATAGTAAGGAAAAGAAGCGAAATGCTTTAGCCAAGAGGAGCGTATCACCCGAGACAAACAAGCGGGAGTAGGATGAAAAAGCAAAAATGTGATGTCCAAAGCGACTGAACACCTAACCAAGATATAGAAGATCGAGGCAGACGACAGAAGACGATATGAACAATCACGAAGTATTAGCATTTGCTAATGCGAACTCCTGACAAAGCATGGGGATTCGATTGCGAAACCCTTCCCCACTTGACGAATCTATACACAATAGTAGGCACAACTCTGAAGCTTCATGGTGTGTCACGAGCTAAGGATGACATGGACGAAATTGAGGGGGTTGATTGCGAACCCTCCCCGCTCGCCTCTTTTTGAGGGACTTATCACATGTACATATGCGGGCACAAATATAAACACGCCTGCAGAATACCTACTCAAAGGTAGGTTTTAAACAACCACAAATAGCAAACAGAATGCACACAATGCGGAATTGCCCTGAACGGGTCTTTAAATAAACCAGAGGGGTTTCTGACATGATCAGCCACAGAGACCCCCGTCATACATCTCTACCCTACTTCTCATGGCATCAAAAAGCAGTAAAGCCCTACTTCTCATGATTTCTAGAAAAGCGGTAAAGAAATGCGATAAAGTGCAGAGAAGTACAAAGGTAGTGGCAACGACTACCACAAGCAAGCAAATTGTCAAAAGAAGACGAGAGCACTGGAGAAGCAAGGAGTACGTGTCGATAAAGCTTCACCAAGCAACAAACAAAGTCAGAAATAATATCTAACTAAGACATTCGTATTTCTGAGCACCTGCACAAAATATAATTATACAAGATACGGGGCACCAAACAATGGCATGCATGTCAAACGCAAAATCGGACCACAAATAGAAAGTCCAAACAAGTTTTCTGATCAAATAATCGAGTAATAATTACATGATCGGAAACCATCCAAATGTACCTTGTACAATCAACACACATGTTAAAAATAACAAGGAAAATTAAAGTATAAAAGAGTAGAAGGAAATTTGGAGAAAACAATAGCCAAAGCAAAGCCAAAGAAGCAAAAAGCAAAAATTTGGAAAAGATGCATCGACTGCAATAGGGCATGCGTCGACTCATGCCTGGAATTTTCTAAGTTTGCATTGACTGGAGGATTGGCGCAACACTTCCCGCAAGTGACCAGAATGTTTGCGTCGACCGCAATAGGGCTTGAGTCGACTCATGCCTGGGTTTTTTCTCAGTTTGCATCGACATGAGGGTCGACACAACACTTCCTGTGTATGGTCCAAACTGTTTGCGTCGACTCAAAAAGGCTATGCGTCGACTCAACTGTTGTCTTGTTCAATTGAAACTTTGAAGCAACATGACTTTTGCATCGAGTGTACGTTTCACGCATGGTTCGAATTGTTGGAAAGCTTGAAAATCATAGAATATCCACGGACGAAACGAAAACCAAAACAACAAAAATTATACGGCAAATTCCCCAATCTTAGCACGGTTGACATATGAGTTCATGATCTGATTTCATGAGTTTTGACGCGTTTTTATCGGATCAAAAACCAAATTCACATCAATTATGCTATGACCATAGCAGAAGGAAATTCGTACGCAACCAAAAATCAATTGAATCACGTGGTAAGGTCAAGGCACAATGGCTCAAGCATTTTGTCAAACACATAATATCTGAAATTTAACTCATGATTTTTGCACCATAAGAGATCCAAATTATACCACACATAATCAATCAAGAATCATCAATTAGGCTTGAAACAACTCAACATTTTGTTTTCTCAACTAAGCACTTTCATGAAAGTCAATTAATTAAATAAGCACTTATTTAATCATCCAATTTTGGATTTGCACATCATAATTCAAGATCAATTCACATTTCCATAATCGAGATCACTTCCACAATTCAAATTAGATCAAAGTTCAATTTATTGATCCACAAAAGTGCTTATTTAAGAATCACTTATTTGAAAAGTGCATAAATCAAGAAAAGCTCACTGTATAATTGAAGAGAAAGCTTAGGTATGGATATCGCAACAATCAAATTCGAGATCGGAGAATAATTGAGCTTCTTTGACTTTTGGATCTTGAAGAAGTTTGTTGGAAAAGTTGTTGGTGTTCTTGATGAAAATGAGAGAAATTTGCTCTTTGATCCTTGAGCAAGATGAGAGAAAGTTTTGAGTGTTTTTGAGAATTAGTCAATTATGAGAGTCTCCTTTGAAAATTAGAGTGAATAAGAATATATAGTCTGCCCTTTTTTTAATGAATGAGCCTCCAATAAACACAAGCAAATGTGTAAATTTTCAGTTCATCAGAGTCCGACACCTTTAGGTCAAATTCGCGGGTCCCTCGACGCGACTTTCAAAGTTGAAATGTGAAACTAAAATATAGCCAACATTGAGAAAAATATCGTGTCTGAATATCGACTCAAACAAATAAGCAATGATTTAGTTATGATTTTTCAAAGTTTCACCCAGATGAAAATATTTCTCGATTCAGGATTTTCAATGCGTTACGCGCGTTTTGGACTAAAAACGAAGGCCTACGGGATACCGTTCGAATTGGAAAGATGAAAGTAATATTTAGCCAACTCAATTTATAAACTAATGCCACCGAAACTAACTCAATACGATAAGAATCAACCGAGTTATGATTTTATGAAGATGAAGTAGGTGAACATTTATCACAATTTTCCTGTGCGAACATATTTGCAGAATTCATATATTCGAAGACTTCCTGAGCAGAATTGGCTTCTGACTGGGAGAGACAAAGATGTAGAGGACATCAAGACGAAATTTTGGCCACCGGAACGGGCTCAAAATGATGTACGACCTTCAATTTATGAATTTTCTAGTACGCGCAAAAAATGCACTTTCAACACATTTTTCTTTGTATTTTTCACCATATAACTTCCAAAAGAACCGCGTATTCGAAAATTTTCCTTTGAGAATTAGCTTTTGATCCGAACACGAAAATTTGAGAACATCGATACGATTTCAAAACCTCAAGAATCAACCCAAAACACCATTCCAAGCTGGAGATGCGAATTTTCAAACTCAGATAAGTCAAAACACTGTTTCCAATTCGCAATGTTTTAAATTCACCAAAAACACCCAAATCTTCCACAACTCAAACATGCATTGAAAAATTATGAGAGCTTTATTGTGTCGATCAAATACCTTGATCCCATGCCAAATTATTTGATTAATGGTGCATGATGTGTTAAATGATCTAATGGAGGGTATGTAGATGGAATGAGAAGCGCAAAATACATAAACCAGATAAAAGTGAAAGGATGAGACAAATTTGGGGTATTACACTTGCTTATCAATGAGACATTGTTTGGCACAATGAACAAATGCAAAGGAAGAAAAATTGGCGCCCCAATAGCACTCGTATTAGAACTGAAATAGATACGACTAATAAAATGATAAGATTATACAATACATGTCGTCTTCCCGGACACAATCAAAAAAATTGTCCGAATATTGGGTCTAGCTCCGCAACCTAGTTTTTTTTATAACAAACTTTCTGAAGTAATTAATTTGTTATAAGCAAGAAATTTCAATTTAAATTCGGGTTTTCATTTCGTGTTCAAGTTAACATTCGATTACAACAACCTTCAGGTAATGGTCCAAAAAATTACAACACGACAAGCTCAGGACAACTACGCAAAACACAACAACATGATAAGCAAACAAAAAAACTAAACACATCATAATATCTAAGAGATAAAAACCATCAACATAATATCGTCTGATCCAAACATCATCATCATGACATCATCACCGCATCTCACCTTTTTCCATGAATGACTTACTCCTTTTTCGTTATTCACTGTAATTTGTCTTTCTATTTTTCTGATATGTTCACCTTCAGGAATGTCTCCTTCCAACCAGTGAATCAAGTGCCTCTGAAAATGTTCGAACGTCTGCGTGTTCTAGAGTTTGATCTTCATCGGAGGCTTTGTCGCCGAAAAAATAATATGAGCATCTCTTTTGATCAATGAAAATGTTGACAATAGAGTGGAAAACATTGACAAGGGAGTGTAAGATATTTTCTAAGAGTGATGTGAGAAATAGTGTGAAAAATGGTGAAGATGGATGATTGCATTTAAAGAAAACCAAATACAACTGTCAAGCCATCTAATATGGCGTCTTCCCCTTAAAATTACATGCATGTGCCACACTGCACGACACTACATATAAGGACAAGTCATACAGTGTGACACATCCTCTCTAATTTACATGCATGCGCCACACAGAGTGACTTAATCTCTGTGTAGCGAATTTTTTATTTGAAAAATAATTACTTTAATAACTTTTTAAATAAAATGATTATTTGTGAACTTTAAAAAAAATTGATTATTTAAAAAATCACATAAATTACACACAAAAACCACTAGAATTTAAATATCTTATATAAAATATTTTAATATATTTCAAAATAATAATAATAATATTAATATTAATTAGTTAAAATAAAAGATAAATATAAATCTAATAAACATACTTAACGAATTTCATACTAATAATACTTTAATGTTTAAAGTGCTAAAAATAATGTCACTCACATGTACAAGTAACTATCACACAAACAATTATAGCAAAAACTTTATTTGTTAACAATAATAACCAATTCTAGACTTGAAAACTCCATTTTTGTTTTCTTATTTAAAGACTAACTTGATAACTATTACTACTCTTAAAAATTAAATTGCTGGTCTATTCTTTTATTTTGTTAAAGATGTAATGACTCCATTTTAAGAAAAAGTGAATGTTCAAAAGTTGAATACACTTTTGTCAAAATAAATTCACTACTGATAATTTAGAAGAGGACTTTCTATTTTAATAATGTTTTTCAAAGGTAAAGTGAAACTAAAAAATAACTAAATTAACTGTTTACCAACAATGAAGCTAATAGTATAATTAAAGTCACAACATTAATTAATACTATAACAGAACAAAATTAATTAATGTTGATTATCTATTAGGGTTACTTAAGTCATTCCAAGTACAAAAAGAAAGGGTATTTTTGACATTTCAAATCGGAATAAGATCCTAGCATTGTCGCAGGTCACTGTCGTTTAGATTTGTGATTGCTATTTCTCTCTCTCTCTCTCCTCTGTTCCAAAAATTGTTAAACGTTTCAAAGAAAAAGTTCAAGAAAAAAAAACTAAGTGAGTGAGAACTGAGAAAGACCCAGATGAGAAAATAAAGTTTTCAGCTCTAGAATGTGAAAAAGTTTGAATCTTGAGATTCATTTTCCAAAGATAGTAACAATAGCTCAACTGGGTCGGTTCAGTTTCCTCCATTAAAGCTTCTTCAAGAAAAAAGATGCTATCTTGAAGAAGAAATAAACAGTGTTGAGGTGAAAGAGAGTGACTTGACTAGTGTGTGTGAAGTTGAAGGGAGACAACAACATCGTATCAGAATTTTTTTTTTTTTTTTTTTTTTATATTTAGTACTGTGCTAAAAGTAAAGTAGAGAGAGAGAGAGAGAAGAACCAACGAATTTGGTTTCAACTGTGTTCTCTTTCCTATCGAGGTAAACATTGTTACTCTAACAACTTTGTTTCTGTGTCTTTTTGTCATTGGGTTGTGTGTGACTGTGTTTGCTTAGCTGTTTTTTTTTTTTTGTGAGGTTTTTGTTTTGGGTCAATGTTTGGTTTTTTTGATTAAAATAAGGAAGAGTGAACGTGGTCTTGTTTTGTCTTAGAGCAAAGACTAGTTTCACGCTTACTGAGCATGATTATTGATTATGGAACTCTATACAATTTTTAATTCCTTAAAATACACAAATATTGGCTGTTGAGAGAATGGAGAAGGTGCTTCTTTGGAATTTGAGCTGTTTTTCCATCTTTTGAGACCCATGCTTGTATCAATTTCCCTTGTTTTTAATTCTTAATCTATTCTCTCTCTCTCTCTCTCTCTCTCTCTCTCTCTCTCTCTCTCTCTCTCTCTCTCTCTCTTGGCACTTGTCTTGTTTAAGAGAGAGAAAGAATTTGCTTAATCATTCATCATATATTACTTGGTTTTGCTTTTTTGATTTGATTCTTGTTTGGTTTGAATCACACAAACCAATGCTGAAATGATGCTGTACTTGGTTTTTTGTTCTCTGAACTTTTTCTATCAACCATAAGATAAAAGTGTTTTGTGATTTCAGAACTTTTTCTATATATGATGAAGAAGAAGTGTTCGGAGAATTAAGTTGAAAGAAAGAGATTTTGATTTTGTGTTGGTGATGGGTGTTCGGTTGAAGATGCAGAATCATCATCATCATCATCATCTCCATCCTTTGGCTTCGAAGTTGCACGAACAAGCAATGAACAAACGATTCACATTCATTCAAGCGCATAGAGGCTGGCTTTCGAGGTTTTTGTTGCTATGGATTCTTCTGATGGCGATAATTAGTTATTGTATCTATAGTAATATGGATGTGGATTCTAAAGTTAGAAGGAAAGAGGTTTTGGGTAGTCTTTGTGATCAAAGGGCTAGAATGTTGCAAGATCAGTTCAGTGTTAGTGTTAATCATGTTCATGCTCTTGCGATTCTTGTTTCGACTTTTCATTACTACAGAAACCCGTCTGCGATAGACCAGGTTTGTGCTTTGAATGTTTTGAGCTTTATGTTTTTTTTATTCAACATAATCTTTGGTGTGTTTTTGAGGTTTTGTTTGTATGGTTTTTCTTTAGGAAACTTTTGCGGAATATACGGCTAGGACCGCGTTCGAAAGGCCGTTACTTAGTGGAGTGGCTTATGCGCAGAGAGTGGTTAATTCAGAAAGGGAGCAATTTGAGAAGCAACATGGAGTTGTTATAAAGACAATGGAAAGAGAGGCTTCGCAGGTTAAGGATGAGTATGCACCCGTCATATTTGCTCAAGAAACTGTCTCTTATCTCGAGTCTATAGATATGATGTCTGGCGAGGTAAAAGAGCAAAACTCGTGAAGAATTTTTGTCTTTTTTCGTTGTTTATTTTGTTGAGGTTTTATAAACCGTAATTTCTTGCTTAGGAGGACCGAGAGAACATTATGAGAGCTCGAGCTACTGGAAAAGCTGTTCTGACTAGTCCTTTTAGGTTGTTGGGTTCTCATCATCTTGGCGTGGTTTTAACATTTCCTGTTTACAAATCAAAGCTCCCTCCAAACCCAACAACCGAAGAGCTAATTAAAGCGACGGCAGGGTATATTATCTTCGTTTCACTTCTTTTTTGGCTTGTTAGTTTCTTTGTTCCGATAGAATGACATGCTTAATGAATTTTTTAATTGGAAGCAGATATGTCGGAGGATCCTTTGATGTCGAGTCCCTTGTGGAGAATTTACTCGGTCAACTTGCTGGTCACCAAGCAATTTTGGTGAATGTATACGATATCACGAACTCTACCGACCCTCTAATCATGTATGGCAACCAATACGAAGAAGGTGATGTTTCTCTTGTCCATGAAAGTAAGCTTGATTTTGGAGATCCATACAGGAAACATCAAATGATATGTAGGTAGGTTCTTCTGACTTTTTTTGTACATCGCATTTTATCGAACGTGTTCTGGCATTTTATCAGCAGAATAATGCTTAAGAGCATATTTTTGAACAGGTATCACCAGAAGGCACCGACAAATTGGGTAGCTCTTACCACTGCAACCCTATTCTTTGTGATTCTTTTGTTAATCGGTTACATTTTATACGGTGCTGGAAATCATATTGTCAAAGTAGAGGATGATTTCCATGAAATGGAGGAATTAAAAGTTCGAGCTGAAGCAGCTGATGTTGCCAAGTCACAGGTACTTTTCATGACATGTTCGAACTTTTGTGCAACAATAACTAAAACTGATTTTTTATTTTATTTTATGTCAGTTTCTAGCTACTGTCTCTCATGAAATTAGAACACCGATGAATGGCATTTTAGGTAACTTCAAGATTCTTTTTCTCTATGCCTTAAATGTAACATATGTGTTCGTACCTAATGATATTATCGATGAACTCCATATTATTGTAGGAATGCTTGGTCTGCTTCTACGTACGGAATTGAACTCAACCCAACGGGACTATGCTCAGACAGCTCAAGCATGTGGAAAGGCACTGATAGCATTAATAAATGAAGTGCTTGACCGAGCTAAAATCGAAGCTGGAAAATTAGAGCTAGAAGCGGTTCCATTTGACCTTCGTTCCATACTTGATGATGTCCTTTCTCTGTTTTCCGAGAAGTCTAGACACAAAGGTTTAGAGGTATGTATGCCTAATCGATGCTAAACCTATTGTAAAGGCCAATACAAGTTACATTTTTCGATGATCTAAGTTTTCCTTTGCGTCAATTCTTCTTTTGTAGCTCGCAGTGTTTGTTTCCGATAAAGTTCCAGATATTGTTATGGGAGATCCTGGGAGATTCAGACAAATAGTAACAAATCTTGTCGGAAATTCTGTTAAAGTAAGCAAAATTTTCAATTTATTTGCATTACTATTATGCATGTTGTGTTGTGTTGATCGCATTTTTGATTAACTTTGATACACTGCAGTTCACTGATCGAGGACATATATTTGTTAAAGTTCATTTAGCTGAAAATAGGAAGTCTGCAATGAATGGAAAATTCGAGACTTTTCGAAACGGAGGATCTGAAGAAGTTATGCATATATCCGGTGGTGGCTATAATCTCAAAACCTTGAGTGGATGTGAAGCAGCTGATGAACGCAACAACTGGGATAATTTTAAGCATCTAATTGCCGATGAAGAGTTTTTCTGTGACGCATCGACTAAAAAAGTGGCCACTAACGAATCTTATGAGCAAGTAACTTTGATGGTCTGCGTCGAAGACACTGGAGTTGGAATCCCTTTCTCGGCACAAGATAGGATTTTCATGCCATTTGTTCAGGCGGATAGCTCAACATCTAGAAACTACGGAGGTACCGGCATTGGCTTGAGTATCAGTAAATGCCTGGTTGAACTTATGGGCGGTGAAATAAACTTTATAAGCCGGCCGCAGGTTGGAAGCACTTTTTCGTTTACCGCAGATTTTAAAATATTTAAGAAGAATTTAATACCCGACGTGAAGAAGGTTAATTATGAAGATCTACCTTCGAGTTTCGGAGGACTTAAAGCCGTTGTTGTCGACGGTAAACCTGTTAGAGCTGCCGTAACTAGATACCATTTGAAGAGACTTGGGATACAAGCTAAAGTCGCAAACGCCATCAATAAAGCTGTTTCTTTATGCGGGAAAAATGGTTCTTTGACTACAGGGTAAGTTTTCAATTTCGAGTAAATTTTCGTATTTATTCTCATATTCTTCTAAGATTTACCGACACCTTCATTACATAGTGATGATTTATGCTGTGTGGTTTAATGCTCAAGTTCATTCACCGAGTTAAACTAGTTGGTTGTTGCAGATTATTCCAGCCTGATATTATTTTTGTCGAGAAAGATTCGTGGGTTTGTGGAGAGGACGGGAACTTCAGTGTGCGGCAACTAGACTGGAAACAGAACGGACATATATTTAAGATGCCTCAAATGATCCTTCTTGCGACAAATATTAGCAACGACGAATTCGATAGAGTGAAATCCGCAGGTTTTAGCGACACGGTGATCATGAAGCCGCTGAGAGCAAGTATGGTGGGAGCTTGTCTTCAGCAAGTTTTGGGGTCAGGCAAGAAGAGACAGCTAGGAAAAGAAATGCCTAACGGTTCAACTTCCGTTCGAAGCCTTCTTTTTGGAAAGAAAATTTTGGTGGTTGATGACAATGGAGTGAACCGAAGAGTGGCTGCGGGCGCGTTGAAAAATTTCGGAGCTGAAGTGAAGTGTGCAGATAGCGGCAAAGCCGCTCTTGAAATGCTTCAATTCCCTCACGATTTCGATGCTTGCTTCATGGATATTCAAATGCCCGAAATGGACGGGTATGTTCGTTCTCGCGTTTGTGTCATCATAAACTCATTCACAACTTATATTCATTGAAACTAGGCTTAATGACTATTAACATTGTTTTGTAGGTTTGAAGCGACGCGTCGAATTCGGGGGATGGAGAGGGCGGCGGCAAACGAGAAGACGAACACGAACGGTGAAGCATGCGGCGAAGCGAGAAGTGAGTTCCACTTACCGATATTGGCGATGACGGCGGATGTAATCCATGCAACATATGAAGAGTGTTTGAAATGTGGAATGGATGGATATGTGTCAAAACCATTTGAAGAAGAGAATCTTTATCAAGCAGTTGCAAAGTTTTTCAAAACAAAGGATACTATTACTACAATAGATTCATAACAAAATGCAACTAAGTTTAGCATGTTATTGTGTATAAATTTTCTCCCAAGGGAAAAGGGATGTAGAAAATTATGTAAATTCAATATTTTTCATATGCATCTCAATACTTCCCTATTAGAAATTATTTTTGTAAAATTGCCTCTTATAAAATCTGCTTAGTTTTTATTTTCAATATATTGAGAAGAAAATGTGGTTTCTATATAGTCAAAAAAAGTTGAAAAAGCGATTATTGGAAACGTGGTTTTGGATTGTGGTAGATTTAAGGGAATCCTGGAGCAATTATGATTCCATAGGAGCAAGTGCTGGTCCTGTGTGGAGTACGGAAGTTGGTGATGTAAAAGGCACATGGTTATGGTTAGACATTGGTTTGGTTTGGTTTCAATCAAATCCAACACCAACTTTGTTGTTTGTTTAGTGCCACTAGAAAAGACAAGAGAAGGGGACCTCTACTCTTCCTCCAAACATGTGTCGTCTATTTTTAATCGAGTCTACACAAGACTGATGAAAAATTCAAATGCAAGAAAGAGTGTCTAGAATATTAAAGAGGATGTCAGATTTTGAGTGTGATTTTTTGAATTCAGAATAATGTATTTATAGGTTATGTATGTGTTGTTTCATAAATTTGCAACACTTAATGAAGCAATATTTTTTCAATATAAGTTTGCAATGGTTCACCTATAGTAGATTTTAGAATTGGGGGCAGACGTACCCCACGTGAGGACGACAAGGAGAATTGCCTTAAGAAATCGTATGTTATTTCTCTTTTCCTATCCTTTTATTTTCGTTTGTTATAATTTGTGTGATATTGATTGTTCATTTCATTTTACTGTTATTGTAGTGATCCAAACTTAGTTTACAATAATCATAGCAATCACTTTCATTGTTATCAAGGAAAATTTATCACTACACTTATGTAAAATTGAACTTGTTGTGTTTTTACACACCAAGTATTTGATAAATTGACTAACACCCAAATTAGTGATTTTGTCAAGTTTTATCTTAAACAATTCATTGGAAGTAGTATGTACTCATTGATATTGTTTAAGTGATTGATTAATAAGTAATACTATTGATTCATTTCTCATCATAAGATTTTCATACGGTTTCGTATATCCAATCTTTTCAATAACAAGTCGTTTAAACGGTTTTGATTCGGAAAGTTTTCGTATCATTTCAAAATAAATTTTAAAAGCGCAATTTTTTAAATGAAGGATCTATTCAACCTCCATTCTAAATCAGTCTCATCGTCTAACATTGATATGTTAAGTGTAAAAAATTATTTTTAATGTGATTTTAAAATTTTATTTTATGTGATAAAATTGTATTGATATAAGTTATTTGAGATAAATTATCCTCGATGTAAAAAAAATTAAATTGACCAAACAAAACTATAATAAAGATGATCCAAATTAAACTAAACTGTTTTGATTAGCTCATTATATTTATTAATTTAGTATAGCAGTTTGAGATTTTAAGAAATGTATTAAACTCTTAAAAAAATATAAATCTTTTTTAATTTAATAAAAAATTCTGAGTTCGAATCCAATGCTGAAAAAGAAGAAGAGTTTTATTATTTATGGAAAAAAAACCGTTGAAGATAAATTATTTTTTATAATTGTTCAAGTGAACCAGCTGTTATACTTTTTAGATTTTAAAAAAATAAATAACAGTTTTTAACTTGTGTTTTAGTTTTTTTTTTTTAGTTTATAAGCAATTTTTAATATATTATTTTTCATAAAATTTTAATTAAAAAACAACTTTTTATCTATTCTGACAATCAAAATTATAAACCGATTTTAAAAAATCATAAATTAGTCAACTTCGTATTAGTCTATATATTGAATTACACCTTTTACATGGACCACCAACAAACACCTATTTTACTCAACAAAATTCAATCGCATAATTTCTAAAACCAAAAATAAAAATAATTAGTTATCTTTTATTTTATTGGATGTTGAATCACAAGGGTCTGAAAGATATTAACCGTTTGATTAAAACTGACTGATTTATAATTTTTCGTATGAATGAATTGAATTGAATCAATTTGATTTGGTTATTTAATTTGAATATTATATAATTATTTCAAACAAATTTAAATAATTATTTTAAATACGTCAAAAATTAAAACTGATTGAAATTAATTAATATTTATTTTGTGTATTTTTATTATTATAAATTTTTAGTCATTATAAAAATAGTAGTATTAGGTGAACTTTCTGAATCCTATTCACCTAATCTTTTATATTTTCAAGGAAGTGACACCATACCTACGTGTCAATCAAACAAACAATCTGTAACGAAACTTGTCAACATTTGGTAGCAACTACAAAATGACAAGGCAATGCAGTTAACAAATGATGTTTTCAATATACACCATATATGTGCTTGTTTGTTGCATTAAGATTTGAATGGCACATGCATAAGCATAAGCATAAGCGATTAATGGAAAATTTTGAGAACCAGTATAGTGCTGTTCCTGTAAGCAACCATGTTGTTGTGGATCCAATTCAGAAGGAAATTATGGATTCAACACAACTCGTAGGAGATACAACCACTGCTACTACTACCGACACCGGGGAGAAGAAACACCTTCACAAGAGCAAGAAAGGAATAATTGATAAGATTAAGGAGAAGCTAACACACCGTCATGATCATCATAAATAACTAGCTATACCTATGTAGTGTAACGTTAACTGAACTAGTTCAATAAATGCTTCTTATTTCTTAACCTGTTGTATTTTATATGATTAATACGGTTTAATATATGATTAATTATTGTTTCGGTGTAGGGTCAAATCCTTCACTAAAAGTCAAACTACTAGCTGAGGGGGGCAATGAAATTATTTGAAATATATATTAGCCACTTCAAATCTAATTTAGTCATGATAATTATTATTTTTTATTGAAAAATTTGAAATTTCTGATATTTTTTTTAAATTACTACAAAAATAAAAATAAATTTATTTACGACGTGATTAATGGGTCACAACATGAAAAATTATATTACAATAACTTTTTTACGACGTGACTGAATATGATACAGGAGAGCGTGTGATAATTTATTTATAACGTGAATTTTATGTTATAAAATTGTAACGTGAAAATTACGTCACAATACTCTACACAAAAATTTATACGTCACAATACTCTACACAAAAATCTATGACATTGTAATAAAAGCAGGCAAAACAGAGTTTGGGTTAGAGCAGGAAGTTATTTTGCAATGTGATTTTTATATTATAAATTTATGAAGCAGCTCAAGCTTCATTTTAAAGGTGAGGAGTTAACCTTTTTCTGACTGATTCGCTGCTCTGGATTCTAAACAAGCAGCGAAGTATCTTTTTTATGATACATTGGAATCGGGTCGCGGGAAAAAAGCCTACCGACGGGTATGAAATACAGGGATTCGGCATTCAAGAACTCCCTTTCAGTCATCCTATCTTGTGTAAAAATCACTTTCAGGTCAGCTTTCTTTCTCTCCAGGAAGCAAAGGCAAGAGCAAAGCTTATTGATTCACTTGTTTGTTAACCTATTTATCGGCTATCCACACTCTGTAACCAGAATAGGGCTCTGGAGTTTTAGGCTACCCGCACTCTGTAATCAGAATAGGGCTCTAGAGTTTATACCACTCGGTGGTTCGTCATAAGTCTGGAAGACGACACCTAAACTAGTTGGACTTGCTTGAATCGATACGCTTACCGAATTTCTCTGTCTATTCAGTTGATTTTGTTGTAGATTCTTTCTTCGGCCCAGACATTGTCTTAGCTCTTCACCCAACACATATGATAGATACAGATGGGGAACATATGTCCTACTAGATGATGCCTTTATAAGGTACCTTCGAGACCTGAAATTACTGTCTATCCTACGAGAATGATTTACCTTTCTTTCTTAACAGAATAACTCCATCCTACTCCTACCTTGCTTAACAAAGGCTTTCTCGTGCTTTGAATGTCAGTCTATTTAGGGGTCCACTGCCGTCTAAATCCACATAGACTTGTACCTCATTCTCCGCACCCTTTACAGTCTTGGGCTATTTTGCCCTTAGCTCGGCGTTCATCTTTCCGGTCTAGTTCAACGACGAGCTCCTTAGATGTTCAGTCTGTTCGGACGGATATGGCGTTACATGTCATCATCATGGGAACCTCATCATCATTGGTATCCTCGGGTCCCGGCAGATATCCGTCTACAGGCTTAGAGCTTTGCCACCAATAAATTCATTATCATACTATAATTATAATAGCTTAATTTGTTTTGCTTTGGACTCTGCTCTCACTAACGTTGTAGAAAGCCATTCTTCAAGCGACAAAGCAATTTGTTTCAATGTACTCTATCCATACCCCGATACCTATTGAGGAGCAAATCCATGCACTCTCGTAGTAAACTATCCTTTCCTCCTCTTTCTGCTGAACCAATAAGCTTCAATCAGACGCCTTTACTTTCTCTCAATATGACGACCATCTCACTGGAAAGTAACTCGCTACATTAACTAAAGGCATGCCTTTACTCCAACAACAATACTCTTGCTTTCTAAAGACTTGAGAAGAGATCTTATAGTTGAAGAAAAGACCACCAGTAGTTTGCCACATTTGCTGATGAAAGAACAACAAGAATGGTTTTTAAAATACAAATGCAAAATTAAAAGAAAGCAGAAGATGCAGCTTAGCCAGCTTGCTCTAGTCCCGTACGATAAGGATGAGAAAAGGCCCACTACGAGAGGAGAGAGTGATTCAGTTGTTAACAAGCGTAGGTTTTTCACGAAATTAATGGTTATTTGGGAAACGTTTGTTGATGAAGAGGTGTTACATAGTATCAAAAAGAAAACCAGGGCTCCATTCGAAGAGATGAAGTTTGGTCCTTCTCCCTCACATGCTCCTTCCTATGAGCAACTCGATTGGCTTCGTGAACAAGAATGTTGATCACCCTCACGCGGGAAGATGGAAATTTTAAGGGCTTAAAGGGTAGCGACGAGATGTAGATATTTATTTTTGAGGTAGTGTACTGTAGTTATAATCCCTCTTCCATTCTTTATTTTTTGGGAAGACATCGCGTTCCAAGTCGATTTTCCTCATGGCACTGCCCCCTTAATGCTACGAAGATATTGTGTTTAGAGAGGTGGATAGATAGAACTGCTAGTTGCTCGATCAGGACCCTAGCTTTATTGCAAGCCAAAAATCTTGATGGGTTCCCCTTTTACGGCATTACCCCGGTAAAATTAATTTAAAACAACGTGAAAATTATATCATTAATAATAAACTGAAACCAATAGTTTGCGACGTGATTTTCATGTCACAAATTTGTGACATGAAAATCACGTCAGTAATTCAACTTTAAAAAAAAAAAAATCTGAAACTATAAATAATAAATAAATATTAAATATAAACTAATATTTATTTATTTTTTAAAATAAATTATAAATTCTAAAACAAATAATTTATTTATTTTTAAATAAATTATGAAATTATAAACTACATATTAAATATAATTAATAAATAAATAATACAATTAATAAATAAAAATTAAAAATGTAATATTACTAAATCTAATATACTAAAAAAAAATTAATTAATATCTTACACAAATTAAAATTTAAGAGAAAAATAAAAATAAAATAAAATCTACGGATCAAGGTAAAAATCTTCTTCATTCTTCTCATCCATATGTTCTTGACTACCATTTTCTTTATTAAATATATAAAACATTAACATTCAACAACCCAACAATAATACATATAAGGGTTAAATAGACAAACCCCCCTGCAACGTTAGCGAATTCAGATTTTAGTCTCTCGTAAAGATTTTTTTTTAATTTCTCCCTTATGTTATGTAGATTTCCTCACATCACGCCTCAGTAGCCAAATGTCATGAAATCTTTAGTAACAAATTGAAATTTGAGCGACGTGCTATTTCTATATACACACGTGAAATTTTTATCTACTCATTTGCTTGTCTAGTTGTTATTTATGTTTTCAATTCTTTATACCCCCTTGCAAAATTAAGGTTTATGTGAAGAAGTTTGTGTTGTAAAGAAGACGAATACTTAGGGTTCGTTTTCCCCTTGTTATGTCTGTGGTTGAGGTCAATTCTTTTGAAGCATCTTCCGCCTATAGTCGTCTGGCCGTCATGGATGGAAGCAAGTGTTCATCAACGTAAGAGTTTGCCAAGATGTGGTTGCAACAAAATCTTGAAGCTGTGGGTATCTAACAACCTCAAAAATCCAAGCAGAAAATTCTGGAAATTCAGAAATTCCACGGTGAGTTATTTACAAGGTTTTAATTCCTCTTATATGAATCTTTTCAGTTATTTATGTTTTAATATTGGGAAAAAATGCAGAATGGTTGCGGATTGTTTCTCTGGGACGACATGGTTAGCGAGGCTGGAGTGAATTCATTCAGATGTTGCGAGTGTGACATGAGTAAGGGTTATTTGCGATAATTTTCAAAGGAGATTGACGAGGAGAGATCAAACAAGATGGAAAAATTGAAGAGAAAGGTTGCATTGAAAAAGACAGAATTTTTGGATGATGATTGAAATTGCAAGGAGGTATAAAGAATTGAAAACATAAATACCAACTGGGCAAGCAAATGAGTAAATAAAAATTCCATGTGTGTATATAAAAATAGCATGTGGCTAAAATTTCAAATTGTTACTAAAGATTCCATGAGATCTGACTAATGAGGGATGATGTGAGAGAATCTACATAACATATGGGGGGAATTAAAAAAAAAACTTTACGAGAGGCTAAAACCTGAACTCACTAATATTGCAGGGTTTGTATATTTAACCATACATATAAAAATCTAAAAACATAAAAAAAATTACAAAAATATCTCTATGAAGCTTGAATCAAACCTGTTGGATTCTTGAAACTTGGAAAAAAATACACCTTAAAAACGAAAATTATAATATATAATCAAAAACTAGTTATTAATTTAAAATTAAAATTAAAAAAAAAGAAGAGAGAGAGAGATTTGTACCTTCGAGGACCGAATGAAATTGGATGGAGGAGGAAGAGAATGAATAAGGTGGTGGTAGAGGAAGAAGAGAATGAGAGAGTTCTGGGGTTGAGAAGAAGAGATAATGGATTCTGGAAGAACTGGAATTGGAATTATATAATTAATGTAGTGACGTGATTTTCACGTTGCAACTTTGCCACGTGAAAATCATGTCGCAAAACACCAACGATCATAATTTGAGTCAGTCAACTTGCAGACCTTTCAGAACGCATCACTTCAATGTCAGTTTGTTTCCCTCCTAAAACCTTTGCGACGTAAAAACATGTCACAACATAATTTTTGAAAGTTTCAAATTTTCCCCTTCTAAAAGCCACGTTGTTTTAATTTTTTATTTTAATAATTGTGCTGTGACGTGATTTCCACGTTGTAATTTTTTATTTTTAAATATGACTCCCCAAACATGTGAAATGACTAGCATCGGGCCCTCATATCTCCACATTTGTCATGGATACGTTGTATGTCTTCGTTTCAAGATTTAAAATATGAGAATTTCTTAATGCATCCTATGCGTTACTAGGACACCTCGTGAATATACAATAATGCCCCTAGATTCCGAAAATACATCTTCGAATACATCCCAAATACATCAAATTCATGAACGATTGAGTCACACAATCGTTTTATTAAAAATAATCCAAAAATACTTCCG